AGAAGAAGAAGAAGAAGAAGAAGAAGAAGAAGAAGAAGAAGAAGAAGAAGAAGAAGAAGAAGAAGAAGAAGACACAAAATGTATCCAACTTGTGTTGTCCATATACTCACTGGAGCATGGTCAAACTCCTGGTGGCCAGCCCCTTAAAGAAAACTGAGTCCTTCCCTGCCTACACTCCCTCTTGAAGCCACCAGTTGTACAGAGCTACACTATAGTATCCTCATCATGATTTTAAGATTTCTCTTCTTGTCGAGGCTGTTGTTTTGGGGATGGGGTAGGGGTTGTCACAGAAGATTTCTATGTCCCCTTTTCTCAACTACAAGTCTTCAGTCACCTATCCCACTGCAACAGTAGCTTCCTTCCTTGCTCTTTACAATCAGTGGGCGCATGGATCATGGACTTCTACACGGTTTCTGGCAACAGCACAGACCATATACATCCTTATGCTCTTCAGCAGCAGCATGTGCCATGGACCTCTACCTTTTATAACTTTACTTGTATGAGTATTTTGCTTGTGTGCATGTCTATGCACCAGTTGCAGGCCTCGTGACTGTGGAAACTGGTCACAAGCTATCATGCAGTGCAGTGCTGGGAACCCAATTCGTCTTCCCTGCAAGAACAGTAAGTGCTCTTAATCACTGAGCCCAAATCTCTTCAGTCCCCAAAGGGGCTATTTTTTTTGGCATGTTTTAATTATACAGAGTAAAGTGTTTCTTTATGACATTGCCAATGATGAGGTCGATTTTTAAGACTGCTTGGGATTCTAGTGTGGTATGGGATTTAATTTAAAGTATATTTAGAGATCTACTACTGAGACAAAGGAGGGTGGGAAGAGATGCTTTATGACCCTATCTGCACTCTCTTTTGCCCATGGCCAGTCAGGGGAACAGCAGTGGCAACTGAGCTTCAAGAGTTTGGCCCATCAGAATGACAGGCACTGATGGGTGAATGAATCTTGGATGGGCAAAGCCCCAAGGGCTTCAGCTCTAGAATGTCGCTTGCTGCTACTGTGCCTTTCCATGTTTCCCATGGCCATTTTTTCTCTGGTATCTGGCATGGTGTGAATTGGTGGGGGGAGATCCCCACTGCATTTAATGTAGTGTGATTATCTCATGGAAACATTCCATTCTATTGGATATTTTTACTTGCGATTAAAATTATTACTGTGAAGATGATTTCCTCTTAAGCTGTACTGTTTAGCTGAAGTAATGATTTAATACAATAATAGTGTTAATTTAAATAGAATTTTGGAGATTAAGGTTGTTTTTTTTAAACAAAGGTGGTAAGGGATTATGATAGAGGTTAGCTTAGTGGAAAAATTAATATACGTAAAAGTAGGACATAGTGTTGCCCCCACCCCTGATAAAGCAGGATCTGCAGAGAAAGAAAAGAGAAACAAAATGTCACACAGCTAGGACTTATGAGTTTTTTGAGGAGTTGTGTAGACTGTAGTTTAAGTTAATAATTAAGGAAAACAATTGAGTCCCAGGAGTTAGCTCAAGTTTTTTTTTTGATATTGGGAAATGTGTTTACAGGTTTCAGTGTGCACCATAGCTAAAACAAATCTTTAAACAATTGACTTCATGTAACTAGAAAACAAAGAATTTCATGGTTAGGTAAGATAATTGGACAGGACTCTAAAATGTGAAAAGTGAAACTAGTAACTTTTTTTTTCCTGGCAGTTAGAAAAAATTACTGACTATGTAAAAAGTTATGGCTGAAAGGCTCCTGATCTGTGAGAAGTCTAAAAGATAAATGTTTAACTGTATATGGTTCTTGGGGATAATTTTTTTTCACCTGTAATGTTTAATGGGAAGTAGCCCTGAATGCTTTGGCACAGGAGACTTGGCATCAAGCACCTTTACCCACGAGCGCTGTTGTTGGCAATAAAGAGGTCTTTTTAAAGAAGTGGTGATGTATTTCTTGCTGAGTACCTACTACTGTAAAGAAGGTCCCACAAATTGTTAGATTCTGAAATTCTCTTTAGCAGTCAATTTTGCATACAAGAATGTGACAATTAAAACCATGTATTTTATATTTCCCTGATCAAAAATCAAAAGAAAAGTATTAGTCACTGTCTTCATCACTGTTTGATTGCTGTGAAGAAACATGACCAAGGCAACTCTTATAAAGGAAAGCATTTAATTGGGGGTTTGCTTACAATTTCAAAGGTTTAATCCATTATCATCAGGCAGGCATGGTGCTGGGGAAGTAGCTGAGAGCTATATCCTGATCTGCAAGACATTGAGCCTGGCCTGGGCTTTTGAAACCTCAAAGCCCACCCTCGAGTGACACACTTTCTTCAACAAGGTCACACCTCCTCATCCTTCTAATCCTTCCTAACAGTTCCATTTCCTGGTGGCCAAGCATTCAGGTATATGAGTTTATCATTCTTATTCAGACCACCACACTCACTTATTTTTGAGTTACTAGGCTACTACCAACACTGCCATGTGGTGCTCATTACTATATAGGAAAACAAGCAAATTAGTAAAATAGACAGGAGATGAGTCAATGTGTTTTGTATTCAGAATTATCATGTTTTTGTTTGCTTGTTTGTTTGTTTTTTGGTAGAAACATGAGACTATTTTATATCTGTCTCATGGTTATGTGAGGGAAAAACTATGACAAGTGAATATTCTGAATAAATAATCCTGTTTTTTGGGTATGGGTATGTTTTAAAATTATATGTTTATGGAGTCAAGATGTTTATTTGATGTTGTGCAAGTTAGTTACCTTTTTTTTTCTTCCTCCATTAAACCAATGAAAATAATCCTGATCTCAATGGGCTTTGGAAGGATTAAATAGAAGCATATAATGTGTGATTCACATTGTCCATTATCCTTGCATTCTGTCCCTTCATGCATCAAAATCTCTACTAGGAACTTAGCTTATGACCACTATCAGTGTTGGAGAGGCCACCACAACACCATACCTCGAAGTTGACAGTTTCCAGATTGGCTGGAACACGGTATGGATTACTTGCTCGAATGCTTTTGACAGTTTTACATATTCCTCCAGTGAAAGAGTTATCAAGGACATCTCCTCTGGGCTCTCCTGCCAGAAAATGAAACCTGGAAACAAAGCAATTTTCAAAAATTCAATAGATGTAGAGCAATCTTTAAAATTTACCTTACTTATATGAAAGAAATTCCTTTTTCTAGACATTTCTTGACTTCTGACAAATGACTCCAAGGGAAGGCTCACTTTTTCTTTCTTATGATGAGGCATTCATAAAGTATTGGATGTCTTAAACTCAGCCCCAATAACCCAAAAAGGTCTGGGATTTCAATATGAAATAAAATTTGAGCTTATAATTTTTATCATTTATAAAGTTAATAGACATTGGAAGCATATTATGATATGGTAAAAGAATATTGATAGAATAAATTATGAAATAGTAATGTGAAAATTGAATAATTTAATAGTAGTTCTATACTCTGGTATAATTACATTTAAAATGTATTTTATTTATCAAATGTTTATATATCATTTATTAACCTCTTTTAAACTAAGCAATAGTAAGTGCTTTGCAAACATCAAGCAATTTAAAGTTCAATAACTATATTTTATAGATAGGATTATTTATACTTATTTTATAAATATAGAAATTGAGGCACATAAAGATTAGCTTAGCTAAATTCATCTATTTAAGAAATTATTTGCAGCTTGAGGAAATTTTTTATTTGCCTCATATAGTCTTCCAGTTTCTTAGAGACTGCAATAGATAGTCTCTGAGAAAAGTGTTTTTTGATCAAGAGTTTGGTAATGTTGTATTTATATAGATGATAAAAAGTGTCTTTATAAAGGTAATGCTAAAGTCCTTAAAAATACACAGTCACTTTCCATATATGTTTGATCAGGTAACCTTGTCTTCCACAGGATACAAAGTACAGTTCTAGAGAATAACATTGAGAAATTCTATGTAGTAGAGAAAGTGCTCTCTACCCTGTCTCACTCATGATACACAAGTACACTTATCAGTTCTGACGGTGGTGTGTGCTCAAGTGGATACTGCATCCTTCAGAAGATCACGTACCACTTACGTGTGCTTCTGTTATACCTCTATAGTACTGAAAGACCCCAGCATACTAGCTTAGCCTAACGCCATTTCGAGTAAGATCTGAAAAGCACGGGGTGTCTACGGCCGGCCACCTGGCCCCAGAAAAGGGTACTAAAGGTCAGAAAAACAACTTGGAGCCAGACAGCAGGCGTGTCAAGCTCGGGGAAAAACCACGAGCTGTCCTGAGTTTGAACCTGGCCTCATTTGAATCGTCCAATCAGAACCCTGTAAACCATGCTCCTCGTGCTCCTGCTGCCAGACCCTATAAAAACCCTCCACTCCAGCCCGTCGGGGCGCCAGTCTCTTGAGCCTCTTGAGGGACTGTGTTGCCCCGGGTACCTGTGTTCCTGAATAAAGCCTCTTGCTGTTTGCATCTGACTTGTGGTCTCGGTGTGATCTCTGGGCGAGGGTCTCTCCAGAGGGAAGACTGCCTTCGGGGGTCTTTCAGTACTAGCTTAAAAAACAAACGGTGTATAAAGGGCTTCACCTTTCTCAGGAGTTGCATTATTAACTTCTTGCTTACTCAAGAAAAGACAAATAGATTTATTTCTCTGGGAAGGCATCAAGAAGCAGTTCAATATGTAGATTTGGGTACTCTGCTGTAATGCATTTGGATTTAGATTATAGAAGTAATTATTCAGACATTTAACTCTAACCAGTTGGCACAATGTCCCCAGAGGAAGGTGAGCAATGTGAGGAGGAATAAAAGAGGGTAAACGGGGTGGGATGGGGGCTGAGGAGGTAAATATAAGCACAGTAAAATACAGGTGCAATTAAATGTCATAATAAGGATGACTAAGAAAGTTAAGAGAGAAACAAGGATAACTATAATTAGAAAGTTATAAAACAAAGCTAGAACATTAAAAAACAAATTATTGGCTAATATAAAAAAGTTGTGATTTTTCTACCAACATGACTGCAGCCCACGTGTTTTAAAACATCAGCAATTTTTTTTTCCTCTTAAAAATGGAGGCAACAATTGCTACCTTCAGGTAGTTTGGGGAATTAACAGTGGTTAGTGAGGGGACCAGGGCCAGTCGTTTTTTTTCCAGGGGCTGGTTTGATAAGACCTCTGCCCCATATTACCCCACCATCCTATGTTGGCTTCTTTTTTGGTTTCAGCCGGCCCTTCGGGAGTTTTTTCGGTTTTGTTGGCCAACCGGGTTCTTCCCCGGGCGGGACCGTTTTTTGTTATTTTCGGCCGGGCGGCCTTTGCCCCGGGGGCCGGCCTTTGCACCGTCGTTTGCTGACCAGCCATGACCTGATCATGAGTTAAATAAAACGATTCTTCAAAGTATACTTGACCACAGTTAGAATTCCCCTAAGCTGGCTTAAAAGGGGCTGCTTTACCCTCCCCTGGGGTTGAAGCCATTTTGGGCGGGTCCCCAGCACGCTGATTTTTTCTTGAGAATAAAGCTGCTTTCTGCTATTGCTCATCGGTGTCTTCTAGTCGTTCCGAGAGATGTCAGGATCCTACAGTTACCACAAGACTAGTCTGCTAGCCTGCCCTACAAGGTGTAATAGTATATTTTAGTTTCCCTAGTTTTCCAGTGGAGAAAGTGGACTTTAATTTCATTAAATGAGTTGCACACTGACTTCAAGAGTGATTGCTTGCAGTATTGAACATCAATGGGCAAAAGTCAACCGTGTATCTAACGCAAACCAAAAACACAATAAGAAATGATCTTACTCCAGTTAAAAATGCCAATTACTCAAAAGATAATAAGAAATGTGGGCAGAGAAACAAAAAAAGGGGACATTGGGAGTGTTAATCAGTACAGTCACTGTGGAAAACAGTATAGAGAATCCTGAAATACACTAGAACTGTCTCACAATAGAGCATCCCTACTATTGGCTATGTACTCAAAGGAGTAGACATTGTGTACGTCAGAGAAACATCTGAACTCATTTTACTGCAGTGCTATTTGTAACAGTCAAGATATGGAACTAATCTAGATGTGCCGTGAAAGACGAGTATACAATGAAAATACATTACTCACATATATAGTGGAAGATATGACAGTAAGTAGAATAAGCAGGCACAGAGGACAAATGCCATGTGTTCTCACTTAGTTGTGGAAGCTAAGATGATTTCAGGAAAATATAGAATCATGGCTAGCAATGTTTGGGAATAGATGGTAAGAGGATAATTAATGGGTACACAATCATAAAGAAGAGATAATTTCTATGTTTAAAGTATGGTAGAGTTAGAAAACTTGGAAGCAATCAATCGCATTAATTGAATATTTCAACATATCTAGTAGAAAGTATTTTGAATGTTTCCAACACAAAGAAATGAAGTGTCTGGATAACAGATGTGTCGATTTCCCTGATCTGATAATTAGACATTGTATGTATGTATTCAAAGGCTACACTGTACCTCATAGATATTCATGACTACCACATGCTGGTTAAAATGTATTTAAAATGTTGAATATTACAAATAAAATGCATTTATATTCCCCAAAGAAACAACATTAATAGAACAATTCCATTTATAATGGCATTTAAATGAAATGTCTCAGTAACACACTGAAAAAACAGAGCAGTTTAAAGACCTAAAAAGTATAAACACTGTGGAGCAGTCAATAAGGGGTCAATAAATAGAAAGACACCTCACATTTATGGACTGGAAGAACTTTTATCATTAAGATGGCAGTACTTCCTAAACTGAAATGTGGATGTGGAACAATTCAATCAAGATCTGCTGTGGTTTGGATGTGCAGTGTCCTCTTAGAAGGCTTGTGGGTTGAAGAATTGGTACCCAGCTGCAGCACTGCCTTCAGAGGTTCCCTTAGGGGAAGAGGACCAGTAGCAGGAAGGTTAGTTGAGCTTGTCCTTGTAGTTGAGCCTTGACCAGGATCCCTTAATCTCTCTCTCTTTTTCTCCCAGATATGAGTTAAGTGGCCTTGGCCACATGCCCAGAACAGTTTGATGTTCTGTTTTGTCATTGGCTTGGGATAAATAGCCAATGACTATAGACTGAACTTTCTGAAACTGGGAAAGATCTTAAAACAAATCTTCCTTTAGTTGTTTCCATCAGATGTTTTGTTTCTTTCTTTTTATTAGTTTTTTCATTTATTTTATATACCAACCACAGTTTCCCCTCCCTCTTCTCTTCCCGTTTCCTCTTCCCACTTCCAGTCTTCCCCCACCCCCATTCACTCCTCATCTGTTCAGAAAGGAGCAGGCCTCCCATGGGAGTCAACAAAGCATGGCACATCAAGTTAAGGCAGGACCAAGCTCCTCCCCATGAATCAAGGCTGGGCAAAACATCATCACAGCATGGGGAATAGGTTCCAAAAAGCCAGCTCATGCATCAGGGACAGGTCTTAATCCCACTGCTAGGGACCCCACAAACAGATGAAGTCACACAACTGTCACCCACATGCAGAGGGCATAGGTCGGTCCCACGCAGGCTCCCTAGCTGGTCCATCTAGAGTCCCTGAGTTCCCACTAGCTCAGGTCAGCAGTTTCTGTGAACTCCCTCATCATGATCTTGACCCCACCCCCAGGTTCATACAATCCCTCCTCCCTCCCCTCAGCTGGACTCCCAGAGCTCAGCCCAGTACTTGGCTGTGAATCTCTGCATCTGCCTCCATCAGTTACTGGATAAAGGCTCTCTGATGACAATTAGGGTAGTCATCAATCTATCAAATGTTTTGTTCCGACAATGGAAAGTGTAATATGAAATCTAAGCTGACATTTTCTTTTCCATAGAAATTGGAAAACTGATTCCAAAAATCATCTGGAAATAGTTGAAAGAATCTTGAGAAATAAGAACAAAATCAGAAGAATCATAGTTTCTGGTATAAAGGATACTTAAAGCATCTGAGTGATCAAGACAGTGTGATGCTAGGTAAGACAGATGCATAGATCAATCAGACAGAAATAACCTTAACAATCTCTTGTTTCTACCAGCTCCAAGTTCAATGCTTAATATTTATAACCTATAATGTGGCCCAACAAATTAGCAATTGCTCTCTTTATTGAACACAGAAGCTATGAAAT